GCCCCACCCCATAACAAAGAAACAGAATTTCCAGAGGATGAGGCCCAGAAATCAGGATTTTAAAAAGATTCCCAGGTGATTCTAATGTGCAGCCAAGGTTGAGAACCACTGCCGTAGATCATCAGTTTACCTGTGGGCTCCACCCCCCAGAAGAGATCCAGGATCTGTCGCCTCTCACTTCGTCACGCCCGGTCCCGCTGTTCCTCCATTTCTCCTCTGGTGTTTCGCAACAACCTCTCCATGGGGCTCCTTGCTTCTCCTCTTGGCCCCTCGTCCAGCCGTGGGCAAACTACGGCCCGTTTGAAATGAATAAAACTAAAAAAAAAAAAAAAAAAAAAGACCGTACCCTTTTATGTAATGATGTTTACTTTGAATTTATATTAGTTCACACAAACACTCCATCCATGCTTTTGTTCCGGCCCTCCGGTCCAGTTTAAGAACCCATTGTGGCCCTCGAGTCAAAAAGTTTGCCCACCCCTGCCCTAGTCCATCTTCCACCCAGCTGTCAGAGGGTCCTATTAGCATGTAAATCCAACTATGCCACTCCTCAAAGCAGTCCCAATAGTTCCCATCTCACTAAAAGTAAAAGCTTAGTAAAAGCCTGTGAAGTGCGTCCTCTCCTTTGACTTCTCCCACCTGGCTCACTGCACTCCAGCCCCACTGGCCTTCTAGGTTCCGGGACGAGGCAGACGACACACCCACCTCAGGGCCTTTGCGCCTCCCATAACCCAAATATCTTCATGGCTTGCTCTCTCCCTTCATTTTGGTCTTTACCCGAAAGTCTTCCCTGTCCACTCTACCTGAAATTCATATACACACGTACATGTAGCATTTCATAGCCTCTTTCCTGGCTTCATTCCCCCCCCACCCCGCTCCCCGCCCCCCTAAAGCATGTATCACTATGTAACAGCATATTTTATTTATCTTGTTTTTTTTGTCTGTTTCCCTCTTCTAGAGGGCAGGGACTTTTGACTGCTTTGCTCACTGCTGAGAGTTCCTGGTGCTTAAGGATCATATATTAACTAGAGGCCCGGTGCACGAATTCGTGGACAGGTGGAGTCCCTCCGCCAGGCCAGCGATCAGGGCAATTGAGGCCATCGGGGCCAGCTGGCAGTGTGGTGGGGGTAGGGGCCCTGGGAGGTTGGCTGGCCAGGGGAGGAGCTGCAGGAGGTTGGCTGTGGGAGCACCCTGACCACTAGGGGGCAGCTCCTGCACTGAGCATCTGCCCCCTGGTGGCCAGTGTGTGTCATAGTGACCAGTCATTCTGGTTGCTTGGGCTTTTGTATAGATAGATTGAATCACTTTCATCTGTAATCACTTTCCTTTTGCCTGAAATGTATTCTTTAACACTCCGGTGTGGGGTGAATTTCCCGCCAAAATATAAGATGGCTCTGTCTTTTGGTTTTGTTCCATCCACCAAAAGGGTGGATTACAAACAAATATTTGGTAATACGCAGTTACAATCGGCCCGAGTTTACACTTTTCCCGCACTCCACCGCAAATGTATATGAACCCGAGTTAAAGACGGCTCCCGCGGAGTACGCGCAATTCACGAGAGCCGACTTAACTCGCACTCCAAGTGTTAAAACTGAGGTTCTCAACTAGACTGTACTTTTGAATCACCTGGGGGAGCTTTAAAAAAATCCTAAAACCCCGCCCTAACCGGTTTGGCTCAGTGGATAGAGCGTCAGCCTGCAGACTGAAAGGTCCCAGGTTTAATTCCGGTCAAGGGCATGTACCTGGGTTGCGGGCACATCCCCAGTAGGAGGTGTGCAGGAGGCAGCTGATCGATGTTTCTAACTCTCTATCCCTCTCCCTTCCTCTCTGTAAAAAATCAATAAAATATAAATTTTTTAAAAATCCTAAAACCCCACCACATCTCAGGTCAATTGCTTCAGAAACCCTGGGGGTAGGCCCAGGTGTCAGGAGTTTTTACCAATGTCGCTGTCTGGTGTTCCTAATGAGAAGCCAAGTTTAAGAACCACTGTTAAGGAGAGTCTTCTGGTGATAAAGTTTCTTGGGTTTTGCTTGAAAATATTTATTTAGAACTCATTTCGTTGTTGTTGTTGTTGTTAATTCTCACCTGAGGATATATTTTTTCCATTAATTTTTAGAGAGTGTGGAAAGGGGGGCAGAGACAAAGAGAGAGAAACATCCATGTGAGAGAGACACATTAACTGGTTGCATCCTGCACATGCCCCGACCGGGGCAGGGGATCGAACCTGCAACTGAGTTACGTGCCCTTGACCCTTCAGTCTGCGGGCCAACGCTCTAACCACTGAACAAGCCAGCTAGGGCTAGACCTCATTCTTGAGAGACGTTTTCACTGGGTATAGAATTCCAGCTGGCATTCCAGCACCTTGGAGATAGCACTCCGCTGTCTTCTAGCTTCTGTGGTTGCTATTGAGACATCATCACCTGTCAGTCTGACTGCTGTGAGGTTTTTTTAACAGTTTTATTGCGATGTAATTTATTTTTTTTCTGCGATCTAATTTATATACCATAAGATCCACCTATCTAAAGTGTACAATTTAATGGTTTTAAGTACATTTAAAAGTTGTGCAACCATCACCACAATCCAATTTTAGAACATTTTTATCACCACTTAAAAAATATAAAAAACCCGGTACCCAATTGCAGACACTCCCCATCTGCCACCCTCCAGCCCTCAGCACAAATCTACTTTTGGTCTCTATAGATTTTCCTATTCTGGACATTTTATATTAATTAAATCTTACCATACATGGTCCTTTGTGACTGCCCTTCTTTCACGTAGCATAATGTTTTTTTTGACGTTCATCCATGTTGTATGGCTGTTCTTTTGAAAATAATCTGGTTTTCCTTTCTGATCCTTTTAAGATTTTATCTTTGTTCTTTTTGCATTTTCACTTTGCTGTATCTTTGTGTGAAAACTTATGGAGTCTCTTGAACCTGTGATTGATGTCTGATTTCTATCTCAGTAATGTCCTTTTGGCCACATCTAATCTGCTGTTTAACCCATCTTTTGGATTTTTAATTTTGGTTATTGTGTCTTTTATTTTAGAAGATCTGTTAGGTTTTCAAATCTGTTATGTCACTGAATATAATCCCTGGTCATAGTATCAAGTTTGTTATTTATTGAAGCCCTGTGAGTAAACATTTTTGTTTTATAATTTGTGCACGATAATATGCTACCTGAACTCTGAGCGTCTGTTTCTGCTCGTTTGCACTCCTGTTGCCTTGTTTCTCCTGCTGACCCTGCTGGTGTGTGACGGTCATGTTCCCTGCAGCCCTGAGGTCACCTGCACAAATCTGTATTCGGGTAAATATATTCTTTCGGTTGTTCTGGTCTTAGCCTTGGCCCTTCAAGGGCAGACACCCTTCCTCCCAGTGGGTAAACTCCAGTCATTCAAACCTGGGTTCAGTCCCACGGTTCACTATCTATGTGACTCTGGACAAGACATCCCCCCTCTCTGGGCCTCAGTTTTTCCCTCTGTACAATGATGATCATGATGGTCCCTCCCTCATAGGGTTGCTGTGAGGATCTGTATCAGTTATTGGTTATTGATATGCAACAAATTATCCCCAAACTTAGCAGCTTAAAACAACAGTTTCTATGGATTAAGAATTTGGGAGCAGTTTCTTATGTCATTTGACTAAAGGTCTCTCATGAGGTTGCAGTTAAGATTTTAGCTGGGGCCTCAGTCATCCGAAAGCTTGATTGGGGCTGGAGGATGAACTTTCAAGAAAGCCCACTCATATGCCTGGCTGGTGCTGGTCAGTGCAGGATGCCTGTGTCCCTCACCACATGTACCTCTCCATGGGGTGACTTGAGTGTCCTAGTCACATGGCAGCTGGCTTTCCCCAGAGCAGATGATATAGGCATCAAGGCAGAAGCCACAGTCTATTTTATGGCCTAACATAAAAAGTCATACTTCATCATTTTCACAGTCTCCTATTAGTGACACTGGTCAGCCCAGCTCAGGGTGGGAGGGGACTACACAAGGGCATGGATACCAGGCCTCAAGGACCAAGGACAAGGCTGGCTATCACATGTCAAATGAGATAATGTATGTAAAGCACGTAAAACCATGCCTGGCATGTGGTATGTGCTCACAGTAAACATTAACCATTCCTAATAAGTGTCCTGGCTTTGCCCTAGGCATGTAGGATCTACACAGTCACCACTTTCATTCAATCATTCAGCAGCTGTGTGTCAGGCACTACTCTAGGAGCTGGGGACACAACTGCAAACAAAACATAGTATGAAACTAACACAAACAAACATCTAGAATGTTCTGATATAATGTAATAGCCTGGATGAGATTCTGAAACACAAAAATAATATTATGTAAAAACTAAATACTTCTGAAAAAATAGACTTTAGTTAATAAAAGTATAGCAGTATTGGTTATGACATTAAGTTGTGACAAATTGCCCAAACTAATATTAGATCTTCACCACAGAGGAAATTAGGTTTTGGGAGCATGGGAACTTTCTGTACTATTGTTGCAACTTTTCTGTAAATATAAAATTACCCTAAAACTAAAAGAAAACTTATTTTAGAAACAAACAAAGATGGTGGGTGTGAATGTGAACATAACCTGTCATATATCTAGGACATAAAATGTTTGGGAAGTGATTGTGAAAGTATCAACACAAAGGCAAAAGAAGACAGAAAATTATCAAGATGGAAGCTTTATAGAATTGTGGAGTGACTGTGAACACTTTGATATTATATCTAGTTGGGAGTATACTTCAAGTTTGGGAATCTTCTTTCATATATGTGAAAATAGAGTTTCTTTTATTTTGCTTTCTCCCACAATTTCTCTATTTCTGATATTTATTGTTCTTCTGTACTCTGAAATTACCTTTCTATTCTTGTCTCTCACTCATTTAAACAAACC